TACTACTACTACTACGTTACTACTACGTACTAACGTACTACGTACGTACGTAACGTACGTACGTACGTACTCGTACTCTACTCTCTCTACTCTCTCTCTCTCTCTCTCTCTCTCTCTCTCTCTCTCTCTCTCTCTCTCTCTCTCTCTCTCTCTCTTGGACTCATATGCTCCCGCTCTACATATATGAAGATGAAGCGAAAGACAAGTGTTTGATGTGAGGCCTCTCTCTCACACTTACACACACATGGATGCATATGCTCTCTCTTTTTCTTCATGCAAGAAGATGAAGAAGAAAAAGAAGACCTTCAAGTGTTTTCAGCGAGCCCTCTCTCCTTCTCTACCATATAAGAAGAAAAAAAGGGAGAATACAGCCCTCTATCCATCTCACGCTTCCACATGGACATCTACTTTCTCTCTCTCTCTCTCTTTCCATATATCACCCCCCCTTCTCTGCTTTAGGGCTGCCCTAGTATTTTGACCCCGCCTAGGTGGCCGTATCCGCTTATCGGGACACAATATGATATCCTATTCACATTTCTCATACATGTAAGTATCACTCATGCCGTAGTAGATTTTATCATGACTCTTTGAAAGGTCATGTGTACCAAACTTAGGGCTACGAATTCATTTTTTATAGCCTCAATTTTTTATCTCAAAAATTGAGCTCAACAAAGATGTTTATTAGCCATGGGATTTGAACCCTCAAACCCGCTATATTAATGTTCACTTGATCGTGTAAACCATTGCACTTTGTTGATGATCAGTGTTGTTTAGATTCGACCTGACCACTTGGCTTTGACTTGGAACTGATGAATCGCTCTGGCTTATCCTATCTGGTCTAGCCCCTAGATTGGAGGCCTAGTCCATTGGTCCAATACTAAACCATCTGGTCCCTCTGGAGGTAAAAAGTGTCTTTTTTTATATTTCTTTTTTAGGGTTTTTAATACAAAGGTTTTTAAGGGTTTTTTTTTTTGTCTGTTATGGTTTGTGTAGGAAATTGTGGTAACATGAAAGGTTAGTGTGTTTTTTTTTTTCGTCTGTTATGGCTTGTGTAGGAGATTGTGTTAACATGAAAGGTTAGTTGGTTTTTTTTTTTTTTTTTTTTTTTTTTTTTCCTGGAAACCAAATCAAATTTTGATTACCTTTGTTGTTCTAGGTGGTTGTCTTTCCAAGTCTTTGGTTGTGCAGGTTTGAGATTATTGAAAGATATCCATCCCCTCAAAAATAATTTCAAACTCTAGGGCTGAAGTATTCTTCAAATTTCAATTTCGTTAAGAAATCCTACCTCTTTGAAATTCAAGCCCGAGGCTTACCTATCGCCCTCTTTTGTTGATTATGGGAGGCTATTCTTCCTAATTTCTTGCCTTTTTGAAGTGAGATCCATCACCACGGTGGCTAGCCCAGCAGCTTCACTCTATTTGCAAGCCACCCACAAGGTTCGTTCCCCTTCTTCCACCAAGCCACTTTCCCTTCGGACCCGCCCATTCTATGAGCAAAGAGAGCCGCTTACGCTCACCACCTTCTGCAACTCTCCTTCACTCAATGAGCTAAGCCGCTATCACTCTCACCCGAACTGAGCACACCTCCGGCGGGAATGAGCCAACCCCATGGGAATGGACTGGTTAACCCCACCTGCAACCACCCATCTCCATCCCCTAGAACCCAAAGGGCTATTGCATCGCTCCTTTATGAAATTCAATAGTTATTAGCTTTTCTTCAATCCTAAAGCTCCCCATACATCCATAATTATTAACAGAGATACCCACCACCTGCATCACTTTAATCCCTAAAAGTAGAGGGAGGCAATGATTTCAAAGATTTTTGTCCAATAAGCCTTCTAAATTCCTCCTATAAGATCCTTATGAAAGTCTTAACCACTACGCTCAAGTCAGTCCTTAGTACCATCATCTCTCCCAACCAAAGTGGTTTTCTGCAAAACTGCCAAATTCTTGATGATGTTCATATAGCGTATGATGT